TGGACGAAAGTTTTACGGCGCGGAAAGAATGCTTTCCGCGGAGAGAAAGATGGCGGCGCGAATAAAAACCTCTCTTATTCTTGTTTCATTCCTCACTGATTGTAAAGAGTCGGATTTTTTATTAATCTATTGGAATTTATTTCAATTTAATTCCATTAATCCTCATCGGTTTTACACATCATTGAATATTTCACTCGGCGATCGATTTTTGTTGCGTCCGGTTTTATATATTGTATATCAAGTATCTCTCTCTCTTTCTCTCTTTCTCTCCTTTGTGTGTGGCGCAGGCATTCCCTACTTTTTTTACAACTGGTATCCGTACCGCTCGGAGCCGGTTTCGCTGAGAATACAATGCAACACTGCCACATGCCATACGAATCTAGCTTTGACGTTTATAATCTCTACGGCCCGTCGCCTCGGGTCATTCGTCTTTTACATTGCCTAATTTACGCGCAATTTCCCAGCTCGACGTGTGCCGTACGATGATCGATTAAAAGGAAAACACTCCGTTCGACGGACACCCTATACTTTTACCCTAACCCTAACCATCACCTTCACCCCTGGCGCAATTACCGTACTTGTAAATTCAATTTATCCGTACAATTTACTTAACTGTGGAAACGAACAGGGAGAGACAATAGTTCTCTCCCTAGAGATCTTGAGATCTCACCGTCTCGATCGAGTATTTACCCGTCCCACGCAGAGTGGCATACTCCGTTAGGAACGGATGGAAGGGAGATGGGGGAAAGAGAGAGAGAGAGAGAGAGGGTATATTGCGCGGCTCGAGAGCATCTCGTTATGTCTAGGTCGGCCGGCTTTTATCGGGAATACAAAGTAGCGATCAATCGGAGCGAGGAATTGTCGGCACGCCGCGACTACATCGTCAAGTACCATCGAGGTGAGCACGGGCCGAGGAATGTCACGAGGTAGCATCTCGCTCGCACGCACACGCACAGAGAAAGAGAGAGAACGAGCGCACACACACGTGGTCAAGTTGGCGTGTACAAAGGATATGGAAGCTCGGCCTTTAGGTGAATGGCTAGCAACCTTGAGGAGAGCGTTCGGAATGCGCCGCTCGCTGCAACTTCTTAAGTAGGCTACACCCAGAAGCGACGTTAAGAAGATCCCCGCCGGTTGGGTGCCCTTGATGTCGCGCGCGTTGGCTCGCGTGCAATCGTATGCGATAACGCACGCGTACGTGTTGGCACCTTGCGACTCCTCGCCCGCATCGCGAAATTCAAAAATTCCGCAACTTCCTCCCGGGAGTTTCAGCGAAATACGATCGATCCCCGTTTTTTCGCTGATTCGCCAACTTTATTCAAGAGCGGCGTCCGAATGTCAGAAGGAAAAAAAAAATGTACGCTCGGCCGCATTATTAATCATCGATGCTCGGGATGCGTACACTCGACGATCAAATTTCCCTGTAATATTTAAGAGGCGTATCGTTTCGCTTACATAATTAATCGCACGGTTCAACGCTCGCGTGGAAGAGGGTTCCGGTCGCGAAATACTCGAACGCGAATACACAATTAGCATCATCGCATCCGATTGTCCTCGGCGTCCGTATTTGCGCACCAGTGTATCGCGGTTGATTGCCTCCATGTACTCGTGAAGCCACTGCGTATTTGCAAATTCGAAGCAAATACGACAAAATTATTCACAATCGATAGCTGACCGCGATAACGATAAGCGTTGTCTCTTTTTTTTCCTCGCTAAGTGACTTTACGTGTGCACACGCGAGACCTAATTATGGAAAGAAGATAACGCACGCGCTTAGAAATATCGCAAAGTCGAAGCCACATTGTTTGGCGACGTAATTTCTTCGCATTCCCTTATCGTAAATTTCTTCGCGAACGAAACTGTTCTCTTCCTCTCTTCCCGAAATGACTCGATGAGCTCGATTCAAGGTCGAATCGAGGACATTCATAGTGATCCACGTTGTCGTTACGCCACGATGCTTTTCGCAACGCGTCTACGCGTTGTTATACGCAGATAGTACGCTCGATCGTACACCGCAACGCTCGCGCGTAATTCGTTATGAATGAAGCCTTCGCATCTCGTCTCGCCTCGCCTCGTCTCACCTCGCCTCGCTTGGTTGCCATCTCCTTGACTCGACTGCGTCGCTGATTAATTTCAACGCGCGGCGGGACGTTACACCTTCTCCGGATGTTTCGTGACCGAGTAATTACCGCAATTCGTCTAATTAATCATGATCATTAACCATTGATATGATTTGACGCGATGGACGCGAATCTCGACGTTGCATGCAATTACGTGTAATTATGAAACGCGTATATAAAGCCTCGTTTGGCCAACTATTTGCCACTTGTTGTAGAAACGAAGGTTGTGTAACCGACGTATATAAAATAACAATTTTTCAAAAATTTTGTTTATCAGTTGCGATTTAAAAAAATTACCCACTGATGGGATTATTAACGCACTCCTCGCCATTTTTTCGCGACTCCATTCATAGATTGTATGCGCTCCACATTGTCGAGAGACTAATAATTTCGCTTATGATGTGTGCCTTACAGTATTTATAAAACCGCAAAAATTATCATCAAAAAAAAAATGTATAAGTTTTTATGGAATAAACGCGAAAAGTACACAGAGAAAAATATCATTCTACTGCCAAGAAAAGCGATTACTCAGTTTATTTTTCTTTTTTTAAGTAATAATTTTCCTTAACAAAGAATATATTCTTGATAACAGTCTTAAAATATACTCATCACAAGTGTTAGAAAATCTCATTATCATGTACTCAAAAGAAGAATATATTTTCTCTTCAAGAATATTGTAAAGTTGTATCAAAGAAAAATCAAACTTATTTCACGTCAACTCTTGTAGTAAGCAAACCAAATTTTTGTTTTAATTTAATATTCTTGACTAAAATACTGCACTTACTAAAATTTAGAATATATTCAATTAAATTTAATGCTTGTGGTAAACTGATGATATATTTGCTTGTGGTGAACTGATGATATATTTGCGGATATACAAACTTATGATATACTTAAAATAAATAATATTTACTTGAATACAGTATACATTTTTCTCTGTGTACAAACTTATAACTTATGATTTCCATAAGATGAAAAAAAGTTACATATATAATGATGTATATAATTATCATAATGACTGATGATTAAATATATATGAGTATTTTGTACACTCGTATATATTTTTTAATTTTATACAATTAATGAATGTATAATTATTCGCATAAACCATATCATAATAATAAATTATATAATATTATCATATAATGAATAATAAATAAATATTATTCGTATATGTACACTATCACAACGAATGTAATGAAGCACTTGTTAGATTAATGCGACAATGAACGGAATAACAGTCTTGACATTTGAAGCTCGAGACAAAAGAACATCTAAGAAACGGATCGTTATATCGCATGATATGATAACTGCGCTATGATAGTCAGGCATCGATATATGATTATACAAAATATTGACATAGAAAATATTACATTTAATAGCGAGAATATCAAATAAACCTGAGTGGAAAGTTTAATATGACGGAATGATGTTGAGCAAGACGAAGAATGAGAGCGACTTTCCGTTACTTTATCAATTGACACGACGTTTATTTGAAACTTGCACGACGAATGACAAATGTTTATTGACGATAATGTTGTCGCGACAACACCTGTCGACGTTTGCATTTGAATGCGTTTGAATATTTGTTAATGTTGCCAACGCACGTTGCCAAAGGAACGCATGTTACATCAAAATAGACACATGATAGTTTTACAAGTTTTCTACAACATATATTACAACATTGATAAATTGCGAAAGAGTATAATATTTCAAACATTTATTTTACATGTATTCTCGAGAATAAAATAATTTTGCGATTCAGTCTTGCTAATCGCTACTGCCAATTACCAGAAGCATTTGCAGATGATGCTACTCCTTGTACATACTCTTGTGAGACATGCTACATTGGAAAAAAATATCCTGGCGCAAATCGTGATGAATAACGGTGTTTACGGAAGAAAAAAGAGAAAGAGAGATGTCTCGTTTATCATGAGATCATTTCAAAGAGGAAAACTTACACTTAAGATGATAAAGTAATCTTTGTCTTAATAAAACAATCTTGACACGATGCGGTGTGCTCATTCCTGCGAATAGTGGTCAGTGTCTTCTCCCGCTTGTTTCGACAACAGCTGGCGAGTATTTTTAGCGAGTATTTCTCTCACAATAAGTACGTCGTCTTGACAATCTTCGGGTTACTCGTTCCAACGACAATGCGATGATTAACGAAGACGAGAGATCGCGATTTAACGTTAACACCAAACGCGTGCCAAATTGTTTGGATCCTTCTCTCGAAATATCCACACATACTAATTTCTTAATCTTGATTTTTAATGCAAAACAATCAAATTTGTGATATTGCGATATAATCATATATTTATCTAGATTCACAGTTTTGCAATATTTGCATCTAAAAACTCTCCAATTACAACTAGAAAAAGTCGTATTTTAACAATTTTGAAAATTTTTAAATCTTCGACGCGGAATACAAATACACAGTTTTTGTATGTATAAATAAAAAAAAATAAAGCGGTATATTACAATAGTACAAAAAATACGATAGTCCAAATGTAAATTATAAATAAATAACCATTGATGTGAGATATTCAATGCGTGATGCGTTTATCATTTGCATTTAAAAGTGATTCTTCAGCTAAAAAGAAATCACGTATTTTAAGCCAAAAGAGATGTTGGTGGTTATTTTAAATAATAAAATACATTCGTGTCTTTGATAAAAATAGTTTCGCAAATGAATAAATGTATAAATAAAAATATTACGTAATAAATATGTAAATGTATAATATATATGCAAATAATAAGGAATCGATATAAGAGATGCAATACGCGACACGCTTATTGAATCGAGTTATACGTAATCTACATCCGTGTTGCGTTATCAACTCGGACATGATATGATTTCGCCTCTCGTTTTTGTTACAGTGTGCCAAAGTATAGACATAAGAAATAGCGTGGATCAATTTTTGAGATTGAACGGATGTCGGGTGGTCGAGGGCTTCGTACAGATTCTTTTGATCGACCGGGCGGAGCAGTCGGCCTATGCCAACCTCAGCTTCCCCGACCTGGTCGAAATCACAGGATATCTTATTTTATACAGGTACAGCTTTCTTTTTATAGCAAGTGCTCATAAGGCGAAGAATTACCTTCCCATTTATTAAAGCGAACAATTTACACCCTTTTTTATTCCGTTTAAATTTATCCTTACTCACGCTCGCTTCGTGTTTCCAGAGTAAGTGGATTAAGGAGCATTGGCCGTCTGTTTCCCAACTTGACGGTCATTCGTGGGCATTCTCTCTTCATTAATTACGCCCTCGTGGCATTCGAGATGATGCATCTCCAGGAAATTGGTCTTCATTCTCTGACCAACATCCTACGCGGATCCGTGCGGTTTGAGAAAAATCCGACGCTCTGCTACGTCGATACCATCGACTGGGACATCATCGCCAAAGCTGGCAAAGGAGAACACGTCATATCGGTAAGCTCTTTTTTTTTATCTATGACCTAACGCCTGAACTGGAACGTGGAATTTTTTTTACGCGAGAAAAAGTTGGACGGCGTTGAAATAAGTCTATTTGAAACCAGGAATAACGCTTCTATTTTCGCTCAACGTGTATCCGATTTTGTTCCACGTTTTACGCTATACTTGCACGAGTGAACGATCGTTGACCGACATTTAACGAGAGTTAAAACGTGCGACACGGTACTCGATTCGTCGTTTAGATTTATCTCGAGAGGATTACGCGCCGGGCACACTTTTCCGCCACGATATTTCGATTTCGCGGACGAGAATAATGTAGCTATACGTGCGCGATTTGTCACGCTTCGCGATGCGAAGCGAGGCGTCCCGGTCTTTCTTGTCGGCGAATCGTTGAGGAGCAAGAAATCCGAAACGGAAGCGGATGAGAATTACTTCATTCACCTTATAACGTATTATGAAAACGCGCGTTAACGAAGCCACAACACTTTGCGAAACGACATGAATATACAGATATTCCACACATTAGTAAGATATAAATCGAATATTCTACTATATATTCCTCGTAAAAAAAAAAATAAACATTAATTTCCTTTGGGAAAATTGCTGGAAATGCATCGTTTTTGAGATATCTCATTTTCTTTAATAAGCCAATATTATAATTACACTTGTTTTCTTGATTCTTCGTGCAAATAATTGTACGTGGAAGAATTTTAGTAATTATGTTATAATTAGATTTTACATTTTACGTATTTATAATGCAGTTTCATAATGAAGAAATTTTATTCGAGTCGACACGAAATAAATTCCCTCAGCAAAGTGTGGTTCCTGACTTTGACGTGAATAAAATAGACGCGGTTTTTTATTTCTTCTTATTATACATTCCGTGTTCAATCATCATGGAGTACTGTGCGAAGAATATTTCCATCTTTACAATACAAGAATGATATGGAAAATAAAATATCTCGTGCGAAATGATGCATTTCCGAGAAATATTTCTGCAAAGGAAAAAAAAATGGTTTTTTTTTTACAAGGAGTACGATAGTACTTTATTCACTCCTTGCGTGACTTCCGCAATTAAATTGTAGTAAAATCATATAACGAGTGCATATTTATGATCGTATTTATAATCAAATAGAATAATTTGATGAGAGTCTCGGTTGTTACAAATTTTATTCGACAATTAATTTGCGCACTTCCGTTTTCGATTTTTATATGCGCAGCGTCCTGCAAGAATGAAATTATCGAAAAAAAAAAAAATGACACGGGTCATGGAATACACGAGCCTTTCGCAATGTGTTTTTCGACCTTCGTATCGACATATCTGACAGCGTAGAGATCTTGTTTTTTCTCTACCCGTAATTCCGTGCACAACAGCGAAAGAATGTTTTAAGCTCTGTCTTAAAAAAGAATTTAACATCTTGTTTTTTTCCTCAAGAAAGGAAACGAGATTATATTATATTTTATTTAATATTTATATCATCGTTCGAAATGAATCTCTATAGAAAGGTATCGATTCCGGAAACAACGATGATAGCACGAAAGTGATGAGTTAGACTTCGATAATATATTCAAAGAAGAAAAAGAGAATGATAACATCTTTCAGCATCCTTCGACATTCCAAGATTCTTATCGAGTTGATGTAAGAATTTAAAAGTTTATAGCTTCTGTAGCGCGAACATTCTTGCTTTTATAACGTTGTAGAGTTTGAAACTTTGCAATTGCGTATCAAGTATGCGAGAAATGTCGGGAGAGAGTGGGAAATAAACATTAAAACTATATCTCGAGGGAAATCACCGTGGAAATTACATGGGAATGCACGGGAGTGATTGCTGTCAGTGAAGCTCTCGACGTAATTTGCTTGCAGGGCAACAAGATAACGAACGGTTGTCCAGTGTGCGACAAAAGTTGTCCGTCAAGGCAGACGAAACCCGATGAGACTCTATGCTGGAATCGACAACACTGCCAACGAGGTAAATTACATTATTAACAGTAAACGATTTTGTTCGCAATATATTTTCGTCCAATATCACTATCGAATCATTGCAGCATTGCAGCGAAAAACAGTAAATTTTTTTTGGTCTTTTTCAATTTGAATTTTAATCAGAATCCTATTTGAATCCAATATGTATGTCGGATTTTTAAAAATCTCATCTTTTTTTTACTTGATTAGAAAGACTTTTGAAAGCTAATAACTCCTTCTAAATTAACATGTAATTGAGAAAGATAAGCTTAGATATAGCTCCTGATTTGAAAGAGAAAGAGAAACTTAGATATAGCTTCTTATCTTGAAAGAAAAAGGAAAGCTTAGATGTATAATAATTAAAATATTCCTGATTTTTAAAACATGAAATGATTTGTGTCCGCAGTATGCGACCATAAGTGCGGGGACAATGCTTGCGACATCAACACGGGAAAATGTTGCAATTCGTCATGTCTGGGTGGATGCACGGGATTGTCAAACGCCAATTGCACCGTCTGCAGGAACGTGATGGTCGGCACAGAGTGCAAGGACAGTTGTCCGAATGGTACCTACGAGTTCATGAATCGACGTTGCGTCAGCGAGAAGATGTGCCGGGAGATACGGAAACCGCGCGAAGCGTTAGACAGCGTCAAGTATCATCCGTACAAGCCGTTCAACGGCACCTGCGTGATCGAGTGCCCGGCTGGCTACATGGAAAGCACCGACAACGACCAGAATCTGACCTGCCGGAAGTGCGAGGGCTCGTGTTTGAAAGAGTGTACCGGCGCGAACGTGGACAGCATCGCGTCGGCGCAAAAGTTGCGCGGGTGCACGCATATCGCGGGTAGTCTCGAGATACAGATACGCGGCGGCAAGAACATCGTCAAAGAGCTTGAGGATAATCTAAGCACGATCGAGGAGATAGACGGCTATCTAAAAGTCATCCGTAGCTTCCCTTTGATATCCCTCAATTTTCTGAAGAATCTGCGCGTGATACGTGGCAATACGCTCGAGAACAACAAGTACAGTCTCGCGGTGCTCGATAATCAGAATCTTCAGGAGCTCTGGGACTGGAGCACGCATCCAAACCTCACCATCCTGTCCTCGGCAGGCTCTCCCAAGGTCTTCTTTCATTTCAATCCAAAGTTGTGCATGTATAAGATTGACATGCTGCGAGAGAAGGCGAAATTGGACAATTTTACCGAGCACGATGTGGCGATCAACAGCAATGGAGATAAGGTCGCGTGCAATGTCACCGAGTTGAAGACCAAGATTACCAAGAAGACATCTAGAGGTGCTATTATCGAGTGGGAACCCTTTTCGCATCACGACTACCGATCTCTCTTGGGTTATGTCGTTTACTTCATCGAAGCGCCATATCAAAATGTAACGATGTACGATGGTCGTGATGCTTGCGGTGGCGATGGTTGGCGGGTGGAGGACGTCTCCGCCGAAAGCACGTCACAGCAACATAACGACACGCAGCAACCGTATTTAGCTCACATACTCACTCTACTGAAACCGTATACCCAATACGCTTACTACGTAAAGACTTACACTATAGCCACCGAGGAATCGGGCGCGCAGAGCAAGGTCATGTACTTTACGACACTGCCGGACGCGCCTAGCTCACCTAGGGCTCTGTCGATCTGGAGTAATTCAAGTAGCGAGCTGGTTATGTCCTGGTTTCCGCCGCTTCATAAAAACGGGAATCTAACGCATTATCGAATCGTCGGTCGTTGGGAGCCCGATGACCCGAATTTCATCGATCAGAGAAACTACTGCGACGAACGTAATTCAACAACTACTCCATTCTTTTCGATATAATGTAGCAAATTCTCTAAGAATAGTTAAATACAATGTGTCTCAAAGTTAAACGATCAAACTTTATCAATATATTTTATTAATAGAAACAAGAAAAAGATACTTTATACGAACAGTAGTTCAAACAAACTTTTTATCATCACATTACATTTTAAAAATACATTAGAAAATACGTTATCATTCCTAATGCAAGTTTGATATTGTTGAGAGATTGAATTTAATTTATCCTATATAAAATTCACATTTTTATTTTGTTTTAATTTCAATGAATGACAGACATCTCGATAAGTTCTTGTCGCGAATTGATTCTTGTACGATAGATTTTTCGCTTACAAATAAAAATCGAGTTAAAAAATATAGAACAAGCAGATTAGATAAATAACGCCGACTGTTATGTAGTATCAAGAGCGAATTTGCTAGCTTCATATTTTTATTGTAATTTTTTAATAAAACATTTTCGAACCAATGTTTATATATAATATTTTTGTTAAATTTCTATATAGAATACAGTGACAAATTTGATCGTTAAGTTTTGGGATACCCTGTATTTATGAAAAAATAAAAACTACGACTATTACAATTATTATAAAAGCGTTAAATAAACGTTTTGCTTTGTGTGACATACAAGAGATTATTTTTATTTTTCACAGCCATGTCATTACCCGAGAAGAAACTGCCAATGTCTGTCATAGCGGAGGAAGAAAGGAAGCGTGCCGAAGAAGAAAAGGAATTGGTGAAATCACCCGAGACTACTTCGTGCGGCTGTGCAGATCGAGAAACGACGGATCAGTCGATGCGTGAAAAGGAAGTTTCCAGTTCGATCGCCTTCGAGAACGCATTGCACAATCAGGTCTATGTAAAACGGATGAATGCGCGTAGAAGACGCGACGTGAAGAGCGAAATGTTGATCACGGCGGAATTAGCCAAAGATTCTAATTATAATCAACAGGTAAGATCAATAAAATTTTAAATTCATTCTCAAGAATTCGCTCAAGTTCATTATTAATTATATAAAATAAAAATAAAAATATATTGAAGTGAATCATATCGCGTATCGAATTTATATTTAGTAAAAAGAAATATTAATCGAAAGTAAATCATGGAATAATAATTATGGTTAAAAAGTAAATTACGTTGTATATTTTTGTTTATAATTTTTTGCATGTTTAGGACAAGGAAGGTATTAACGATAAACTAGACAATGGCACGTACACAGTATTCGAGCGATTGATACCGAGTACGAATCTTAGTGTCGTAATGAAAAATCTGCGCCACTTTGCCGCGTACAACATCGAGGTTCAAGCTTGCAGAGAACGAGTTGAGAACGAGGATAAATCGAAGAAAAATAATTGTTCAACGAAGAGCATGAAAACTTATCGTACATTGGCTATGGAGAGTGCAGATAATATTCCACCAAACACTTTCAAGTTTAGCATTTCTGGCGGGAATAACAGTCTCACTATAGTTACATTGTACTGGGAGGAGCCGCCTCAACCCAATGGTCTAATCGTCACGTACCAAATTGAGTACAAAAGAGTAGATATAAAAAATGTAAGTAACGTAATCTTTTAGTTTTTATTATTAATTAAACAAATGCTGCAAGCGACAAACGTTTCGATATACTATATATATTGAGCGAGAGAGAGAGAGAGAGAAAGAGAGAAAAGAGAGAATAGATAATTTAATTCAGAAAAATTTATTTTGAATAGAAATTTTTAATTACAATTTACAAAATATCATTTATATGTATTTTGCATATATTACTGCCATCTAAATATAATCTTCCTTTCCTGCTTTGTACAGATAAAATCAACGGTAGTGTGCATCACAAGACGCGATTTCACTAAAGCGGGTAATTCATATGTCTTGAAAGATCTTCCAGCTGGAAATTACTCTGTGAAAGTTCGAGCTACCAGTTTAGCTGGATACGGGGCATATACTGAAGTTAAATATTTTTATATAAAAGAATACGGCATGCTGAGCACATTCTGGATTTTCTTCTGGTTAATATTAACCCTTATTATGCTATCGAGTATTTTGGTGATATTTTACATATTTAGAAGAAGATCGGCGCGGAATGCGTCCAGTGTGAAAATTATCGCGACAGTGAATCCGGAATACGTGAGCACAGGCTATGTGCCGGATGAGTGGGAAGTAGCCCGAAAGAAAGTACAGTTAATACGCGAATTAGGAAATGGTTCTTTTGGCATGGTATACGAAGGATTGGCCAAAGATGTTGTCAAAGATCAACCGGAAGTACGGTGCGCTGTGAAAACCGTAAATGAAAATGCAACAGATCGTGAACGAATAGAATTCCTTAACGAAGCTTCCGTCATGAAGTAAGAAAAATTAATTGCTTCCTCAAGTTTATTATTTTCTTTGATTCATGTCATATCTTTTTCTGTTGAAGGGCTTTCAACACTCATCATGTGGTCAGATTGCTGGGTGTAGTGTCACAAGGCCAACCTACGTTGGTAGTTATGGAACTGATGGTAAATGGTGATCTAAAGACATATTTAAGGAGCCATCGACCGGATGTTTGTGAAAATTCTAAACATCCACCGACGTTGAGAGATATCTTGCAAATGGCAGTTGAAATTGCGGACGGCATGTCTTATCTCGCAGCGAAGAAATTTGTTCACAGAGATCTGGCTGCTCGTAATTGCATGGTAGCCGAAGATCTTACCGTGAAGATCGGTGACTTTGGCATGACAAGAGATATATATGAAACTGATTACTATAGAAAAGGATCCAAGGGACTCTTGCCTGTTAGATGGATGGCCCCAGAAAGTTTAAAAGACGGCGTATTTACCAGTTTTTCCGATGTTTGGAGCTATGGAGTTGTTCTATGGGAAATGGTTACGTTAGCTTCGCAACCGTATCAAGGCTTATCAAATGATCAGGTGAATATATATGTGTGTATGTGTGTGTATACATATATATATATATATATATATATATATATATATATATATATAAATTTTCGGTAAAATAAAATATTCTTTGCTTGTTAGAGGTTCTTTAATTCTTTTTAAATAGTTTATACTCTCTTTAAATAGTTCTTTAAATAATATCCTTTCATTTCTTTAAATTATTATAATATTCTAGGTATTGCGTTACGTAATTGAAGGAGGAGTTATGGAACGACCGGAAAATTGTCCCGATTCATTGTACAGTTTAATGAGACGTACTTGGAATCATAGAGCCACAAGAAGACCTACCTTTATAGACATTGAAACGCTATTATTGCAAGAAGTTAACATAGAAGACTTTGAGAATGTTAGCTTTTACCACAGCTCAGAAGGAATCGAAGCTCGAAATCAAAATATTTCGCATTCACCGCAAAATGACCAGTAAGAATAGCTTAATTTCACAGTTATTTAGCAATTTGCTTAGCATGCTTTTATCGCTCCGTATTGAAATATAATTTTAAATTTATCCATGTAATTTATTTTTCAAACAGAGATTTAGAAATGGTTGCTTTACAAAACTTGCGGGAGGAAGAAATCGAGAGAGGAGAAGATTCGCCATTGCGTGAAGATTTTGGTGACTTTGCAAGTTTTGAACCTTGCAGTATTAAAAATAACTTGAGTCCACATTATGGAGCGAATTCTTATGGTGAAACTTCCACTTCTAATTTCCATGACATGAACTCTTCAAAAGTACCTAAAGCTGGGTTCGACGAATTTGTCGGCGTCTCTGGAGATTCGCTTGTATCTAGTAAAGATACGTTGAACTCGCCTTTTATAGAAGGCAGCCTTAAATCAGTCAGGAGCTCGCCTTTTATATATAAAAAAAGTACATCCCGCAGTAACGTAAGTCAAGGCTCCCTAGTAAAGTCTGGGAGTCCGCAAAGTTTAGTCAAGCGATATTATCTCGATAGTCCGAATCTACCCAAGTCTCGGGGCGATCCTGATTACGAAAATCGGAGTCCTGAAACCATATTAGCAATCGAAAAGAGGGAGATTACTACTCCGTTGCATGTAGAATTTCCATCTGTCGATGTTATGGACATTCAGATTAACGGTGACAAGAAAGAGACTAAGTGCACTACCGATTATGTGAATAAATCGGAAACGTTGAATAACGGTTACATTGGTAACACAGCCACGTAGCTTCAATGATATCCTTCGATGTTATCAGAATCCAACGCGCAACAAATCACATATGACAAATACGTGAAATTATATTCTTGGAGTGAATCGATATGAGTATTCCAACAAAAAGGCAGTGTCTGTGCCAAATTTATGAGCGTACCGAATCGTAATTTTGGGAGAATCGCATTATGAGCAGCGTTTTGTATACACGAGAAAAAGATGCTAGTGTGTTTCTAGACTCTAACGGAAGTTATAAATCTATATTTTAAACGTCTAGATATGTAACTAAGAATCACACAGGTCCTAAATGCAGACAAGTAAAGTTTCCTTATACGGGTGTTACCATGTCTTAATTCCGTCTCTCTAAATGTAATTGATATCGCTACGCATGTACAGTTAATTACATATATTTATATATATATTTGTTACGCTGCAATGCATGTTGGGAATAAGCAGCGAATATATTTATACCAGATACTGTCTTTTTGAAATTATCGCTGTAATGTATATTAATATAAAAGGTTTTAGCTTTCTAAAGATACGTTATTGTGAAGTTATAAACAGTTGCGGTTTAAAAGCCAGAAACTATCTTTTCTTGAAATTGGGCCGTGCACTATTGAGAAACATGCAGACATATATCGATTTGATAATATGATATTTGCTAACAAGCATATGACAGCCTCTCTCTCTCTCTCTCTCTCTCTCTTTCCCCATTAACTATCTAGTAAAGTAAGTGTATATTCAAAAAATTAAGCAGGTTAATTATTTGTATTATAGATTTTCTGTTTAATATTCAAAGTCGCAAAGTATGCTAATTTCCGCTGTAAGTAATTATATTTGTACAGTATCTCAATTTATTTTTCTGAACTTATGGGAAATGTAATATAAATCAAAGTGGCAATTAGGTCGACTACCGTGTTGGTACGATATTTTGTTCACAGCAAAAAGACCACATTTTATAAATTTTGTGAATTACGCCTAGTCGCCACTTTGTACGATTTTAGGCTTCGAATTCGCATATAATAATACAGATTCGATATTATTGTTGGAAAGTGTAGAAAAGGTGATTCAGAATAAGAGTGTATCGACTTGGCAAATATATATCTCTCATCGCGTTCCTCTAATTTATAAATTTCTATTATATTTATGTTTTCTATATACATCGTTTTAATGTTTTTGACTTGTATCAGTTTTATTGTATCAATTAAGATTCAACAGTTCTGAATCCACCAATTTCTCTGATGTATAGTAAGAGAATTAGAGAGTAAGGAGTAACTTTTCAAGTTAAGAGTAGCTTTCAAAAGCGAGTTGGTTGATTTTATAGTATAGTTTGTGAATTTGTAGTCTCTATTACAATCACATTTTAATCTTTTACAATTATGGCAAAATCTTAGACGAAAATAATGTGTTTAAATTTATATAATATTTGGTATTGATATTATTGTATTTAAGTTTTTTTAAAATTATCATGATAGAATGTTATGCTAATAATGTTAATTTTAAGTGAACAGTGTCCTACTCTCGTTTCTCATTCTGTATATCTAAATAATATAGCGAATGTAGAGATTCAGAGAAGCATGAGACAAAACTGCATTATATGTTTGAAAAATTTCAGAGTCCATCAAATTGCAGATTGCATTTTGACAATGCAAAAGAAATCTATTTATCCGCTTCGATCTTTATCATATTGAAATAATTTGAGCAAAAGAGTAATAAGTAACTTTGTCAAAATATCCTTTGTATGATCATTGTACTTCATTATTTGAGATTTTTCGAACGTATCTTGTATATGTGACACAGTATGAATACTTTGTGTCTGTACACGTACGTGAAACGTACTATTTCGTGGAGTTGGCACATGAAATTTTTCGCATTGCCTTCATAATATCTTCCAAGAAGTGCATCTCTCAATATAGATATCACTTTTCGATATTTCGTAAAAAGCTTCATCGTGCAATTTTATAGTTATGAGTCTATCAGAAAGTCTCCATATCTCGTGCAATAGGATGATCCACGTTATTTATGCTCCATATAATAAGCGCAACTAGTAGTCTGCGATATCGTCGATATACAGCATATATCGCCGTTTCTACCGTCGCTCCACGAAATAAATTACGAAATTCCGAAACGTACACCGTACTTTTCGATTAGAGACGAGAGAACGTAGACTGTCCTAGTGAGCCCAGTGAGAAACAAGATTGATGACGGACGGAAGGATTGAATCCGTGTAATCATTATTGCAATCGCTAGATAAATAGCGGACGAATCCTAACATGAATGAGCTAAGAAGAAAGAATTATTATACGAGCAACGCAACGCAATGCAGTTGAGTCTATAGACATAACGAGCCTCTAACACAAGACTGATTAGCTAATCCCAATATTACACCTGTAATCTCTCTCAGTAAGTTAAAGGTACAAGACAAAATGGTAGAAGTTCCATGTCGTTCCATATCCGTAAACATCTTCCTTTTTATTGATTTATTTTGTTTGTCTTTTTTTTTATCCGATTGAAGATGTATTGAAAATTTATTTCGAGATTTATTAATGCGATCCGTGGTTTTCGTCCTTTATAACATTGCACATTTGGTGCATCGTTGTGTATCGCTTTGATTCGATGGCTTATCGGAGCATAAAATAATGTGCGGGATATCTCTGAAACTATTGCACCATTTCATGTTATACTTCCGTTTTATATTTCCCTGATGAATTTGTATATGCGATGTGAATGTCTCTTTTTAACGCAATCTAAAACAAGGAGAGTTATTTTTCTTTGGAATTATTTGATATTTCCAATATTATTCGCGTATCTAAATAAATCACAAAACAGATTACATTCACATAGTTTGTTTTTATTTAATTAAAATGAGATAAACAAATTTTATCTATATTTATCCATATTTTATTTAAATGTTTTCTCTTTTTCCAAGGTTCAATAATAAAAATTATTTGTAAAAAGAATTAGACACAAATTTATGAAATTTCAAAGAAATATTGCATTAGTTTCGAGATAGCCTGTACACCAATGTCTCTAAAATACCGGTGATCTAATGACAAGTATCTAATACAAGCTCTACGCAATATCATACAAAAGTTGGACAAAGGTCGCGCAGATTATACGATATAAAATAATACGGGAAGTATATTAAAGAAATGTAACAAAAAAATATGCAAAAGACGCAAATCTTGTAAGATCATTGTCGTCAAATAAGTTTCTCGCTCTTTTTTTTTTTTGGAGGGAGTATTCATTTTCGTACCAAAATGATGAGCAATATTTATTTTTATTGCAGTTTTACCGATGCTCCGATCAAATATCAATCGTAATGTCTCAACTTTCGATTGAATATTCAAAAATATATTGCGATCGCGTATCTTGAAGCCTTGCACCACGTAAAACCTTTTTTTTTATCCTTACGACGATTTTGTTTAAAAAATACAGATTTAGCCCCTTTTTGTTTAGAGAGAGTTGGAAATTTTTTTGAAAACAAAATGTTTCAGTGCGCAAACTTTCAGAACGAGAGGCGAGAAATAATCAAGATATACACACAATTAAATGGAATTCTCCCGAAATTTAAGAAACACGATTAATGACACAAATAAGCCGATCGGCCGATGTATCGTAATAATAAGCCTCGCTCGTATTCTGAAGTATTTAGTGTATAACGAAATAAACAAGTTAATGCTTAGACCATGTATTATGTAAGTATCGTAAGATTAACACAAAATGTTTCCTATATGGCCGCGAGTCTCCGTACGAATCGCGATCGCTAATTTTAGGCCTACTACAGCGTGATAGTTCTGTAATATATTAGAGTAATCTCTCTGAGGATTAAGGTAATATGTAATCGTATCTGAAGATTGTGTGTAATTATTAAGTGCAGAGAGAAAAGTGTGCCTGTCGCCGTGTATATTGATCGATTTAATGAATGTGCGATTCGAATATATATATATATAGCAAAGATTTAAGGGTGTGGCCCTGAAAAATAAATCAATGTACATCTGCATCAACGATATAGAGGGAATCGAGAAAAATGTCGGGTATAATGGATATCTAATTTTTCGTTTGTCGCAAAAATTAAGCGAAGCGCCCTGATCCCGATCATTAAAAGATTCTTCTCCGCTGATCTTAGACTGAAAGCAGTAACTATTCATCCTAAACATCGAGAAGCATAGAAATACTCTCCTTATCTCGATCGCGTGCGTTTAATTTATTTATATGTATCCTCCAAGTAAATGGTGGATGACTTTAGCGCAATAGTAGCTCGAGACGCTATTAATTAGTTGATATTTGTTTCCTCCTTTTTGCCCTTTAGCAAATATATAAACGACTCGATTCCTTTTCCTTTTGCTATCACGTCTATTTTATGTTGAAGTCTTTGTCAACATCTCGTGTACATAGAATTTGAAAGATATATCGATTTTATATTTTACGAGATATTTTGAGTTTTTATAACACGTCCAATATTCCATTATGCTAATTCTTTTTTCTTACGGATAAAATTTTATCATCTATATCTCTAATAAAAGAAGCTTCCACACATGATAAAAAAAATCGCGAGACTTCTTTTCCTATTGTATTACGACAATAACGATTTTTAAATAATATTTCACGTGCCGTTTCTAGAATCTTTCCTATTAATTTAAATATAAATTCTTATTTTGTTCAGTTCCTATGGTGCACATTATTATATTCACATGCGATAATTAACGAATAAAATCTCTGACACTGGTTATATATACTAATATATTATAAACTATTTATGTTCCGCTATGCTATAGTTCCATTTACTATTTTTACGTTTTTGCAAAATAAAATTCTCAATTACATAAACTGCTCAATATTAGATTGCTCAAGTTCTGTAACGATCTAACAGTAAGATAGTACGATTGAATTCTGACATAAAATGAATAATTATGAACCATATATTAATATTGCAGTGCATAAAAATACAATCGCAGAATTCTCTTTCGAATTAATTAACGAAATATTTTATGCTATTTTATATGTTTTGTATGATCTTATTTTTGTACAGTGATAGCCTTTAGTAAATTAGACTGTATTGATAAAGTAAAAACTTACATTTAAAACAGACTCGAACCTTATCAAACTTGGATTGTACCATGTCGAGTTTCTACAATAAAAAGACATTGTTTTTTCGATTGCTGTTTAGATTTTTCAGAAATAATCGTCATTTAACAATTTATTACCTCATTTTTCTATCGAGCAAGATATTTTTATGAAATTAGCAAACATTGCTCTAATTTTGTAATTAATTATAATTTTATAAATTTAACGCTTTCGGCAAAATGTTTCAAAATAATGCTTATCTATTCTCCAAAGATTTTATATATATTACGCGTATAAATTTTATTATTATTACGCACTTTGAAACATTTTAAATTATCTGCAAACTCATATTTTTTCTCTATATGTGTCTTCGAATTATGATTAAAATTATTCAAAAAACTCTGCTATGAATATTATTAATTATGTAGTGAAATGATATTTTACAAAATGAAAAGTGTCTTCATAAAAACGCAAATTTGTATAAAGATCAAAATTCCAATAAAACGACAATATTCGGCTTTGTTTATATAAAAACAGAATTATAAAAAACTATATATATATATATGTGTGTGAAGGAACTATATAAATGTAAGATATTCTAAGTAAGTTTTATCTATATATTTTTTACGGTGTATATTAAGAAAATATTCAAACAAATTTACTAATCTATCAATATTTCATAAGATTGGATGCTTTTACAAGAGTTTGCCATTATATTATCGTCAGAGAACTTTTAATTTACAATATAAAACATAATATATATTTTATGCACACGATATGTAAAATAATTAGCATCGCGTGTATCATTTCTACACATTATTTTAACATCTTGACAGTTTATAATTGTGGATGATGAAATTGTTTCTAGAAATTAAAAACAAAACGAGATATCTTTCTTTTATATGTTGCCGCAAATTTTTTTTTATTAGAATTGCGTAAGCACTTTAGATGTAATAGTGATCAATCGTTCCTACATCGAACATCGATATTATTTTTTCTTTTTTTTTTTTAAGATTGTATGAAACAGCTGATATTCGCTGTTAATTGTAATATACATTTCCCGTGCCTATTCACGTAGCTGCCACTCGTAGAATATTAAATTATTTAAATATAAATACATATCGTGCTTTATCGCTTCGCGTGCAACATATACGCTATATTACAGAGACTTACTTTCAACAATTAGCATACGCACGTAGTACGTTAAATATTTTCTTCATTTAAAACGATAATTGTTGCTGCCTTATGTCAGATCGTTAAAAATGTACTTGGCATTGATACGCAACGAATGCTCAAACGATTAATTTGCGAAAATATAGTGGAAAAGCGAAATCTCATCTTGTTATTTACAATCAGCTGTGATACTGAGATGTGCAAAATTAAAAAATAAATAGAAAACCTTTCATTTCCGGTAGACGTTTCTCAGCGATGCTTCTCGCGCGCACCAATTCAATCTCTCGATATTTGTAAATAATAAAAGCGCTTCGACTAATTTTTGAACGAAAATTTGCAAATTTTACGCGACAAGATATATATATATATATATTTTTTTTTTCTTTTTATTTTACAGCTATGAGATGTGAATGAATGTGAGAAAATTTGATGGACAAAAGTGTGTTTATAATACGTTATATAAAGTGCATCAATGCATGTTACTCGAGATGATAAGACGCGTATGTATTTGTACAGAGCAGAGCTTTTCGACAAAGATCGCGGATGTGTAAAATACTCGTTTTCACCACACAAGCTGAAGAATATCTTATCATTGATATATATGTATATCGAACTCTGTAGAGTCGAGTGTGTATGTCGGTCCCTTTTGTCAATAAGTTATAGTTATCAGAGACATTGGATTATTAGTTTTCCGATGCGATCGTCCTGCAAAAGGGTGAAGGAGGATACTAGATCGAAGAAAGATTAGCCTAACATCCTCTCACAAAATCGTGAATATACATATCGCGATGATGTGCGAGCCGTTCGACGCGGTTGAGGAAGCGATGTTACGGTCTAGTTTTTAAATGATTTAATTTTTGAGGCACGCGAGAGAGAATTCACTAATATATCTATAATTAATATTTAATATAAAGCCAGACACCGCGATTAGAGATCGATCGTAACAGGAGGGTTCTCGAAACGCGCGGACTCGCGCATCGCTTCCAAGATTTTGCGCAAAACGATTCTTGCATCTCCGCGACTATTTAAGAAATGCATTTAAATATTACGCCATTACCACACAAGACGAAAGCAAACTATTTTCTTAGAGATTCTTTCGAGTGAAGAGCACAAATGTTAGTATATTTTCCCTCTTGAGTTTACAAAACAAACTGCCACTGCCGTGATGTGAAGGAGAAGCCTGCGAGTAGAAGAGAAAATAAAAACAAAAAAAAAATACGCTATGAATAAAACATAAGCATCTCCTCTCCCCCGCTTCGAGACATCGATAATCTCGAATCCTCGTTTCGCGAGATCACCTTTCGCTATTCTCGCTTCTACGCGACGCGACGTATCGCGTAATCACTTGTGTACTTGTATGAGTTTTTGTTGTTATAGCGATTTGTCAGAATTTCGCAGCGATTTCATTGTGCGATGCGATAATAGCGTAGCAAATATTATATAGCGTTTTTTAGCACTAAAGCGATATTAAAGCGAGGCGCTGTTTCTTTCTAGATTGATTAGAGAGATCATTTTTATTCGGCTAAATATAAAGATATAGCGCGATGATGTGACCTCTGTTCTTCTTAAGTCGATAAGTCACACCCGCGAGTATGTAAACGGATGTAAACGATAATAAAGGCGTGTCGTTGATAGTCGAAGAACGACGCGAATGCGAAGTACTGTGTCTCGGAGTCAGTAACAAGAGTCGGCGACGGTCCCACGAGGCATTGCACGCTCTGCGGATAATCATAGGTGTAATAATTTTTAATTTGTAATTTCATCATCGAGATATATAGACAAACCCGGGCGAGGGCGACGATCCCTGTATATCTTTCTCCTCTTCCCTCCTCTCGAAGATATTAACGTGCTCCTTGTCCGAACGATGCTTGACAAATTTAGACGATATCCGATTTATCTCATTAAAAATTGTATTTACTATTATATATAATTATACGATACGCGCTGTACGCAGAGGAAGAAACAGATTTTATTTACCAAATACCAGTTTTTTAATAAAAATCTTTTTGTGAAAGAAAAATATATCAGACTCGTTATTTCACGAGTATCATCGTATCTCCTCACCGTACAAATCAACATTTGATGAACCTTTTATAATAAATTCGGTTCGATACGCAATATTAGAGGTTTCTCGTATAAATTTACGAAAGCATGAGTAATTAAAACATAATAAAACATAATAAGATAATTAATACTACGCGTTACTGTTATTCGATACGAATAATAACGCATTAATTATCTCACTGTTTTAATTATTCATGCTACAGTAAATTGCGCATTGATGCATCCAACCAAATTTGTTATTAAAATTGCCTGTTTTTAGTTCGAACGAGTTATTTCAAGTGAATTATACAAGTCGATGACCCGTAACATAAGAAAAATAACACAATCGCAAATAATCGCATTCGATACGATAGCTCGTCCTTCAGTTCACTTGATAATTTGACTTGGCAAAATCGTATGACGTTCAATCTCCTGATTAGCTGCACGTAATCGAGAGATTCTTTCGCGATGAACTGCAAGAGTTTTTATGCAGCATGAAAAATCGATTATACGATTATATCTGCATCTTCTTCGTCTTGCTCGAGATATTACGACCGATTTCTCACGCGAAGATTGTCGACGATACTCGCAGGTATTGGCAGCACGTGATTTTCTCAAATCGTTGTTGCAGTATCCGTCTAGTGGACGATTTTTTCGCTTGTTTTTATCATCCTCTTCGCGGATGAAATTGAATTCGATAGATTTTACACACTTCCAGAACGAAACGAGAGATATCCCTTGCTGAAATATCACAATTGCGAGGAAACGTCAACAACCACGTGGGAGAGAGAAATTTGGAGCGCGAGGAAAAGGATAATGAACTCGAGAAGGACGATCTTACATATCCCCGAGAAAAACGTAAGATCTCAAAAAGATCCGCGAATCCTGATGTCCAACAATCAAACGCCGAAAAGTCGATCAATCGTATAGCCAGTCCCCTCAGTTTGAACGAGGCATCGGATTATGCGGAGGAACAGGCGGATGAAGAGACGGCGAAACAAGAAGGCGATACAGATATAGAGACGAACGATCTTGTACGTTTACCCCGTGACGTCAATGTCGAGAAATATACCGATCAGGACGAGAGATCGAGTCTCTACGACGATTACGAGGCGAAGGACGTCGCGAAGCGTGGCGTTCTCGGTGGTCCAGGGGATTACGAGGAAGCGGAGGAAGATTCACCGGAGATATTGGAAGATCCGGTCGCATTGGAGGAAAACGAAGAGGAGATGAGAGAAACACGGGAGAGCGACTCTCGGGTGAAGAGAGATCACGCGATTTTGGAAACGCCTGATAAATCTGAATCACGCAATCCAGCGAAGCTGAAGGAGCCAAAAATTGCGGAGAGTTCTCTGAAGGACAAAGTTTCTCGTGTCGAATCATCGAAAAGTTTTAATCGACGAGAATCGGCGCCTGGCGACCCAGCCTCCGAGATCAAAGGATCTGCTGGATCGGACGAAGTGATTTCAAAGTCGAGCGGTTCCATCGAGAGCAAGGAACCGGCCAATGTAATTAGTTCGTCCAAACACGAGTCGAACGCGGAATACGGGAAGCGCGTGGAGGAGGAGATTCAACGGAAGATCGACTCGATCAAGAAAGAGATCAAACGTGACGTCGAGGCGCAGCAGCGAATAAGGGATATCGAGGAGAACAATGCTAGGTTCGACGAGTTACGGGATCAGGAGGACGAGGAGAGGCAGAACTCGGAAGGTGAACCGATCGAAAAGCGCCAGATCAAGAGATCGATACGAGAAATCGCCGCTCCTTTTTCCTCGAAAAGAGATGATAGGAAACGAAACTTGAACGGAGAACAACACAATAAGCCGCAACGTCGATCCAGCGAGATCGGCAGGCCGGATAATTTGAAAGAAAGCGAAAGGTTGAAGAGACAATTCCCGATTAATCGCGATAAATCCTCCGGACAAGCTCCTTCAAAGGGGCTTTTAAAAAAAAAACGCGAACACGTCAGACAAATTTTTTTAGTAAACAACGATCGGACAAAGAGAAGAAGTTCGAGAAGTTATACACCGCCATCCGATCGGACGGCCGCCAGACCGGAATATGAATTATTCACGGATTTGAATTCTTATCACCTTACGAACGATGGAATGGTAAGACTCAGTGAAAATCAAAAATAAAACCGAATATTTTCGCGAATTTTTTTAGATATATATTAATGTATTATTAAAAATTAATATATATTATATTGCACATCTTTTTTGCTTAAAAGTAATTTCAGAGTGTTTTTTATTAAAATTGAAAAATTTTATTTTTTTTTAAATTTTTATCTGGATATTTACACCGTTTTTTCAATAACTTAAATTATATTTAAAAATTAAATTTATTATAAAATTATATCTTAAATTGTTTTTCTACATTTTCCATATTTTCAAGTAAGAATGTTGTATATATGAATGTTTTTATATATCAATAGTGATCAAAATGAATTCGATCTATAAAATAATTTAATTGAAAGTCATTCAAATTAAAAAAAAAACGTGTCATTAATCTTCTAAATTTCAAAATGAGTTTTCTCAAAAACCTTTTTATAAAAAAACTCTATTCTACATTTACGATTTAATTTTTTCAATATAGAATTATGTTTTTTATACGAGATATTATATAAAAAATTTTATAAAGAAAATTGGTGAAATTTTGTTACAGCTGCAAGCATCTTCGCCCATCGCCGCCGAAGATGAGAACAATGACGAAGAACAGAGTCCTACAGCGGAACATACGAATTCCTTGGTGGCTCTCACTGGAAGTTCGCAGGAATTGAGTCCGCGTTTAGCGAGAGAGTACAAAGAGGCCTTCGGTGGATTGCAGAGTGAGTCTGGCGGCGCTCTCGCTAGATTCAAGAGGATCAAACGCGTACTCGACGGTTCCGATGCGAAAATTTAAAATCTCTCATAAAGGGTAAAGTGGAATCGACTATCCTCTCTTCGGGGTGAGAGAATATTTTCACAAAATGAAATTATCACGAAATATACAACGTGTAACTTTCCGAACTTCTTCTATCGTCGCGCAGTAACGAAGGACTAAGTAGGAATATAAGACATATATAGACTTTTTATATAAAACGAAATATTTATAGACCTTTACGAGAGAGCAGAATGATGCATTTGTAATTAGAGAGAAAGACTATAGCTATAATATAGGGTGTAATGCCATTAATCACGAGACACTCGAAGAGATTGCGAGTCGATTTAATTGTAGCCTAAATGAACGATATATATATATATATATATATATATATATATATATATATATAAATCCTTGACAAAAATGGATAACTATGTTATCTACCGCTCTAAATTACTTATAAATTTTTTTTACGCCGGCCGTGTGTAGCACGTCAAAAGATATAAAACGAGTTTTGAATTGCTTCTCTTCGGACGCTTCTTGTACAATCTTAAAATATATTACAAGCTATTTAAAAAACATCTCGCAAAGTAAACTGCACGATGTCGCTAACATTGCATTACTTGCGCGCGCGATTGCATACGCTTTGCGTACGCGCGCGTGTCATTTCTCCAGTAATTCATTAACTTTATTTCGATAAATTTTAATTTATTAACAGACAATAAAATTCAAATCAATCAATCATTTTCTTAATCTTCGCACACACAACAGTACATACTAGAGAAACATTATATACAATAGTGACTCATCGATCGTCGGAAGGCGTTCACTTATCAATTATCACCATAGACCAATTCGAGAACCTGAAGAACGCGATACTTTAGAAGCGTAGCGCATAAGTCGATTGATTAAGCAAATATAACGAAAATTATGCGGACAAAGAGAAGATACTAATACACTGAAATATTTTTCAGTGTTGGAATAATCGAAAGAGTTGTTTTGCACGTATAAAACTTTGGAATAGAAAGGCGAGAATTTATTATAAACGTTCGACACACTTTATGAATATTTGTCTCTCCGCTTTCAAGTCGTATAATGATATGTTAATGCATAAACAGAAAACATGATGCAAGAAACAGCGATACTATCCATCTTTTTTTCCACGGAAAAATGCGCATATAAGCGAATAATTGTTCTTGTCGCGTTCTCCGGGTTGTCTCTTAGCGCCAATTGAGATGAAGAGAGAGAGAGGTACCTAGGCAAAAGACACAGACGTTTCGTAGACGTTCAAGATTTAATTAATAAACGTTATTACGATTAAACACGAAGAAGACACATAAATCGTTAATCGTCTTTCTTTTTTTTTTCTTGTTGTGCGCTTACACATTATGGACATGGACGCCGGAAACAGGAATGTGATGCACGCCGAGTGATGCCTGCACGTCCGTAATATCCCCGAATCATACGCAATCCGCCTCTCTCCCGTTCCGTATAATCCTTCTACTTTACAACAATATAAAACAGTTATTTACATCGACGGCTAAGAGGATTTGAAAACGATGACAATGTCGAGAGGAAACTTAGACGTTTAGAGATTTTCCTCGCCTCGATGAGTGTGCGTGTGGCATGATGTATGTACGTGTGAGAATGAGCGTGTATACGTCTTTTTCGAGTGGTTTTTTTCGCGCGAGACATGATTGCGAGCTGAAAGGAAGAGATGTCCAGGTGACGTGGAAATCGAGATGGTCCTCGCGAGAATCAAGTCTACATCTTTTCGAACGACATCGATGTATCGTCGAATGTATATCGCTAATCGACTTGTCTTATTTAATGTCGTGACGTTACTTTACGATATTCCTTTCGAGGCATCGCTAAAAAAGAGATCCGCGTGAGAATTGGTCGCGTCACTTGGATCGCACGTGACGATTTTCGCGAAAGTTTCGTGACGCGCTAAAGGGCACCGCATTTGATTGACCGTTAATTAATTAGATCGGCGTGAGTATCGGTCCTACGACAAAAGGCTTGGATCGGCGAAACCCTCAGGCACCGATCAACTTTGAGAAAAACTCTTGTTTCCTTTTTTTTTTTTTCGACTCGAACTTCAAACTTATCCATTGTTATCGAGTGTGAAAAATTAATCGAGAAACGACCGAGATCGAATATATCCGCGTAAAAAAATCAGCTCTAATCAACGTGCACGAACTTTGATATTTGCGAAAACCAGTCTCCACGCTGCATCATATGTGAAGCGGAGAGATCCCGAGAGATATATTTTTACCGGCGCATATGAACACCAGGATCGCGTAAATATCCTTGCGAATGAAACGCGACTGCGAGATGCAACGTGGGTATTAACGGTAACGCATAACCGACACGAGCGAGCCGCACGATGCGGCAAATAACGTGACGGATTGGCTTGGTATTTAGTGTGTGTCGAAAGAGCTCTTTTCTTTTTTATTTAAAAAAATCGATGTCTGAGAAATGGTGTTCACAATAATATAGTACAACAACGTAACGGTATTACATATAGGTAATATATATATATATGTATATATATATTTTTTATATATATATTTTATATTTATATATATAATAATAGGTAAAATTCTTTTTTACCACAATAACATGGCTATATACAAATATTACAAATTTTTCTTTCATTTAAGCCCTCACGGATCAACACCGCTGGGTCGATCTAGCGCGAGACTAGGCAGCGACGCTTTTCCAAATTCGCTGCTTACTTTATCTTTTTTAATTGCACGTTATATAACAGGCTTTCGATTTTATTAATCTTAAGCCAGTCTCTCCTCTCCTCAATGCGATTAAACAGAGGGAAAGAGAGAGAGAGAGAGCGTGAGAGAGGGAGAGAAAAATTTTTGTCTTTAGGATATGTAAAGAAAGAGAATGGATAGTGTAAGACAAGAAATGAAAAAAATTATTAAAAAATTTAAAGGTGCGAAATTTTGAAGGGTACAGGAAACAGAAAGGAAGGAGAGACGTTAGATCCTATATTTCAACTTTGTACAATACGTAAGAATATGAATTTGCACGTTTATGCGATTGAAGCGCTAAAGTCTTCCTGAGAGAGGCATCGCGAATCTTCTCTGGCTTATAGATCTCCTGATAAATTCTGATTTTATTTTCTCAACAAACATTTGGTGTCGAATGCCGAAGATAAAACGTCTGGTTTGCGATAAAATTTGATTCGCCGCAAGGAAAAATCACTTTTTACCTCAAATTGTTTGCAATTCGAGAAGTATACGATGCTTGGAGATGCACGCTACGTATAAAAAAAAAGTTGAGTACTTTGGTCATGCTATGTTATATCGTCGTTTCATCAATTTTTTTTAATTAAATTAAATTAAAAAATGCGACTCGACAAAGACCTCATCTTACTTTCCATTCCTGAAAAAGAGATTCGTCTTTGGAAGATTGATTTGTCAACATACATGATTCAAATTGCTAGATATTAAGTTATTTTAATTGCCGTTTACGAAAAATTAACTTTTTTTTTATACGTAACATGCATCTCCAAGCATCGTATTCTTCTCGAATTGCGAATAATTTGAGATAAAAAATGATTTTTCCTTGCGGCGAATCAAATTTTATCGCAAATCAGACGTTTTCTCTTCAGCATTCGACACCAAATGTTTGTTGAGAAAATAAAATCAGAATTTATCAGGAGATCTATAAGTCAGAGAAGATGCGCGATGCTTCTCTGAGAAGACTATGTGTTTGCGCAGCGATAAGAAAGAGAGAGAGAGAGAGAGATGATAATATAAAAACATGTATAGCTTGCTATAATCTCCGAGAGGCCGATAACTCGATATAACTATTACAGTTACATTCTCACTCATTAAGATTAATGCGAGCTGTCAGAGCGTATTACTCATCTCATTTCACAATCTCTGAAATAATTTTATGAAATATGCAAGTTTAATGCATATAATATATTTACGCGATTAGAAAAGCAATTACTTTGCCAATTTTTCACTTCGATAAAAAAGTGATATTTGTTTAAGTGAGCGGATGCAGCTGCGAAATTACATGCAAATATTGTAAAAAATTACTTCATTTTTTCCTTAATATCGAATTAATCAAACAATTTTTGTTTTACTTTCTTTCTCACAAGTTTGATTACATTTTCACTGAATAAACTCTTCTGAATTTTAATTATGATTTAAATAAGCCAATTTATTTGGCGACTTTTTAATATATAAATATATAAATTTTGATTAAAACTTATAAAATGTTTTTAAATCAAACAATCAAATTATCATTTATTTATGTCTAAGTAAATTTAAAGAAATAACAATTGCACTAGTAATTTCCACGAAAAAGATGTATACAAATTTAAAAAAATTTTTTTTTTAATTTTTAAAATTCAAACAAAAAAAATTTATAACTCAAATATGTGCATAGAAAATTACCTATTAAAAAAAGATTTTATAAGTTTTAATCAAAATTCATATATTTATATATTAAAAAGTCGCCAAATAAACTGACTTTATTTAAATCATAATTAAAATTCAGAAGAGCTTATTCAACGAAAATGTAATCAATATGTTATATATTTTAATATATTTTTTAATATATTTTAATCTTTTTCTAGTGCACTCGCTTCTTTAATCGAAAACTTTGCAAATCGTGTGACATTAAATTCACTTAATGTAGTATCTCACGTGATTCTCTTTCCGTTATGTTTATCGTTGTACACTTTATTTTTGAAAGCTTTAGATATCGAAAGACAGCAATATATTATGTTTCGCGCGAGATATATGTTAAATACGAAATAATAAATTTGCCTTCTCCTTTTTCGGAGATATTCCACAAATTAAGATTCTGCGCTCTTTATATGCCTCTTGCGAGTTTTTTTTTCGTTTTACGAAACTCGTTTACGATGACAATGACAAATTGACATGAACGATCTTGGTTAACATTTAACGTGGTTTAAACCTTATGTTAAACGATCGACGATCATATACATACGTTATATTGCACGATTATGAGTCAATAGAGCACGATCTTACAATCTATGACGAATATCTACGCGCTTTTGGCACCTCTTGTGTTTGCGTATACGCGGACGAAACTTTGCGAGTAGAAAAAGAGAAGAGAGAGAGAGAGAGAGAAAGAGAGAGAGAGAGGGGGGGAGAGAGAGGGAGAGAGAGAGAGAGAGAGAAGAAAAGAGAAAGAGAGAATTTCATCTACTACGATAGAACTTTTGGATATATCGATGATTCAAAAACTCTCTTGTGGTCACATTAATCACATTTTAAATATGTAAAGATTATTATTAAGATTCTTCTCCGTCAAGAGAGGTGACGTTATTCCGCGAACTTTTCCGTTCTGCAAAAAAGCTCCCCTAGCCACGAAGTGCGCACTGACCGATAGCGAGAATACGAAAAAAAAGAGGGATTTTCTCTCCGTTACACTTCGTTACGTAACAGAACTTTTTTAGCATCGAAAGAAAATTCCGTTTATCACTCAATACAGACGGAAGATAATTTATATTTATAAGATATGAATATGTATGTATGTGTATCATTTAGCGAGATAGCAAATTTATCTATTTCTCAGTTTACATCCGTTCAAATTTCAATCTATTTTTAATGTAGGATGAAAGAGATGTATATATGCCAAAGTATGTGCACTCGATTGGCTATGCTACTTCTCGCAGCCAGATTCCACAATGCTAATCGCCTACATTGTCTTTATCTCGAATGAAGAACTTTGAATGTTATTGAAAAAGATATGATACACTAATTACGACATGTATAGACATAAGGATCGTATTCTTGATTTCATCGTCATTATCTTAATCTCGTATTCGATTAATTATCAAACGCGCGTATAAAGTATAATATATTACTTTCAAAAAACAATTGACAAAATCGTCGAGGGTACACGCATTATGATATTTCTCTTTCTGCTTCTGTTATTATTATTGCGTTTACTCGTAGTAAATATATTAATAATCGAAATAATAAAATCATAAGCTTTCTTCAGAAAATGACAAATATAGAAATGATCACCAATAGTACATCTAGAGAAACGTAAGGGAGAAATCTGTTTCCGAAACTTTTACGCAGTTTCTTCGTTGAGATTACCTTTGAATTTTTTAGACTTATCCAACTTCAATATCACAGATTCGATATTTGTATTTTCCGATGGAGAAAAAAATTGAGTCTAAAAATTTGTTACAGTAATAATTAATTCTGTTTTATCTAAAATAATTATATTATATCGCAAACATGATATTAAAAGAGACAGAGGAAAAGTAAAAGTGAGCTAAAGCATTTCCTAGATAAACTATGTTAAATGTTTATGTAATCGTAACTGCTACTCGCAAGGATATAATGAGGAAAAGGACACAAAAATCTAGATTACTGTTGGCGTGTACCGCCGGTAGGCATCTCCCTCCTCTCTCACTTCTATGTCTTTATACGTTTCTTTTTTTTTTTAATATGCTCTTCCATCGAGGAGCATAATCGATCGTAATCTTCTCTAAACTTTAAATTGGCCTAAACGGTAGATTACTTCACTATATAATTGCATTATAATAAAAGCATGTATAAATCAGTAAACATTTTTCTTTTGTGCTTCTTAGAGATCATACATGATACAATGTACAAAGTAGTGTAAAATAAAAAAAGGGTTAATAAAGATTTTTTTTATATTACTTAATCGTCAAGTAACGGTTTATCACGAGCGGGAGACATCTTTCATTGACCACTGACTTATTTCCAGAAAATGTCTCGAAAGATTTTTTTGTGGACATACTATCCTCAAGAAAACAATGCAGATCTCCAAATTTGTATTATGCACGATTCAAGCAATAAAAAAAATGCGTTATTAAACGAGATAAAAATATTCACACGAAATCTATATATATAAATTCGTATGCTATATAAATAAAATTTACTAAGAAATTTATTATTTATACATAATTTATTATGTACTGACGCGCTATTGATTCCCTGCAAATCTGTCAGTGCCCAAAAAGTATCCCAATATGTCAAAGTGTCTTAAGAATTAATCGCGACACCAGGACAGAATTTATTTTATCCTACACAGTAGTCGATACGGGAGAATGTGTGTGTGTGTGTGTGTATTGGTAAATGAGTAAAATCTCTTCCCTTAAAGTCGATCTAACCTAAAGTGGGCTTCGGCGCTGGAATCCGATATGACCATTGTAGGGTCGGCTAGCATTTGTAGACCGTCCACGTCGATTGGATCGAGGCCTTGTCTAAGGGCGTCGTCCGATGGGAACATTTCCGGATCAAAATCTCCCATCATCGCCGTACCGAGGTCCTTGACGAATTCTGGATCGTCCGCACCGGAGAAGTCTGCAACATGGTATTTATCGAGATTCCACCATTATTTTATCATTTCAAATTCCATCGCGAAATTATTCACGGAATTGAAATAAATCATTATTTTTCCATTTTTTTTCGACGAAAACATAAGCCGTATCATACATAAATGTATTAAATATTCTTAATGGATAAAAAAATTGGCTTTGAAATATTATCGTAAAAAAAAAACGCAACGACTTTATTCCGAGAATAATAGATAAAACGAGCGAGATATTTCACGTCTTGTCACGCGGGCGCGTAATTAAAAAATTCATAGCACGTATATCCGCGGGGAATATACCTGTGAGAATAATCGTAGGTGTATTTGGAGTTTGCGGTGTGAGCTGCTGGGTAGCGGTGGTCGTCGTCGTTGCAGGTTGATACGCCATTTGCGGACTCGTGCTGAAGTACCCCGCGTCCCCGCTGCCTAATTCGCCCCCGACATTAATCATGTCGTTCTGAGAAACAAACAACATGAGGAATTTAGTAAAGAAATCAAGCATGTACGCGCGCAAGAAAAGAATACATCTTATCATCTTTACTGCTTCTTTTTTCGAACATTAATAACGACGATTTACGAGACATACCTTGATGATTCTTCTCACCTGCGTATAATTCGTGGTATGATTCGGTGACCCGATATACGTCCCGATCGTGTTCGTCTGCACCGGCGTGTCCATCTGAAGTAGAGAAGAAAAAAAGGGAAGGTCGTGGATGAGCCATCTTATAATGAAAAAACTTGGCGAGATTTACAATCGATGCGGTCTAATCCGAGTCGTTCTTTAACGCGACGTTGATTCATTTCGCGTGTAACGCGACCCCCGTCCCTTATAAATGCTTTTTATAGAACGGTATCGCGGGAGGGAAAACAACGGAAGAGGAGTATAAAGGGAGAAACCCAGTACGATCGAAGCCGGTAAACGCTCGGTACGCGCGTTCGCTCTCCAGGTCTCCGGAAGATCGCCGTTATTTTCTCCTCAACTTTGGAATCCATTACGGCATTAGTTATGGTTCGATTTCCGGATACTTCGTTTCGCTTAATAGCCTTTGTCAAATGAAATCCCTTTTCGCTTAGCCGGCATCCGGTAACGGGCTTATTGCTTCCTGTATCTCTGTTTATTTCCGTTATTTCATGTATTCATGTACTTTTTTCTAATCCAATTTATTTGTCCGACGTTTATCCCGAAATTACCGATTCTTCTTCCGAAGAGAGGAAAATGATTTATGAAACTGTGACATTACAATTATACTAAATGATACTAAATAACTTCGAACAATCGATAGTTTGCGCAGATAAGGCTATTTAGCTTCGAACGATTTTTTATATATGTCGTAAAATATCAGCGTGCTCTTCATTCCTCTATTAACTGATGAGCTCAATGCCATCCGCGTCAATATCAAACGCTACGGTAACGGCCACTTGTGAGTGCAACTGAGGGAGCGTAAAGAGAGGGTATCGCGTTAAGGCCCCTGCGTCCGTGAAACTGGTCCTTCTGAAGCGCAGCACGCATATACACGACATATGTATGTACATTCTACATGTGCATAAGAACGCGTTTCCGAGTTTGCGGAATATCGCGATTATTATTAACCTATATTCTTATAATGACGATGATATATTCTTATATAATGATTTCATCAAGAATCCACGCGATTATAACGCATTTTCCTGTCCGTGTATCGAGTGACTTTAAAGCGTTCTTTGGACGCGGTAAAATGTTTTAAACATCAGAGACATATATATATGTACATACACACACGCACACTAAGTGTGATTTTTTTATTGCAAGAAGGTAATATTTTCCCTTAATCCGCGAATATATATATATATATATATATATATATATATATATATAAAATCCTGGATCTGATATTTTTCCTCCGTGCAATGCGAGTCTCACGCAAGGGAATACATTTGACGCGTACATATTCAATGCTATATGAAAGCCGTGAAAGGAGCACGGTACTTGAGAATTCGCATTTTTTTTTTATACCGATTAGTAGCGTATACATATGAAACAGTGTATTAGTCATACACGTTTCTCTCTTTCTCTCTCTTGATTCAATAAGTAAATTTTAAATATTAAAAGAGATAATGATTCTACGATCGATCTTTTATATTAGTTTATACATTATTAATTTTATGACTCGAAGAATTTAGTTTCTTGCGAGCCTTGTATAAAAAAGTATACGGATGGTACCGGACGTTACTATCGAATTTGCACGAATAAAAATGTTTCACAACTAATGGCGATATTTCACCTCTATCTGCGTGGTCCAGGTGCAACCGAGTTCCATCAGCTGTTGCGCGAATTTCGGCCACTCCTGAATTATGAATGCAGGCAACAGATAAATAGCAAGACTTAAGACATGAGTCTAGCTCTTAATATATAATCAAACGTAAATATCCGTTTTTTTTCATAATAAAACTAATTTCGATAAAGATCTATTCTGAGAAGCGATACTTGCGATCATGCGATCCTAACTAATTATAATTAATTTCATATTAGATATATCTCTCTCTTTCTCTCCCATTAACTAAAAAAAATGAAGAATTATAATTTGACGCTTTAAAGAATGGGAGGTTTGACGATGTAACTGAATAGAATATCAAGTAACTCCGAGTCAGAATAATTCATACGAATCATTCGCTTGGAATAATTCATCGCTTAGCATTAATTATAGCTTCGAAGGTCAAATCTTGCCTGAAGAGGAATAATGTTGAAATTCACGAAACCTATTAGCTTGTAAACGTTGATTCGAAAAATCGTGTTTCATGCGAAAAATATTTGTTACATTATTAATGCATCTGTTGAAATATGTAAATGAGAAATTTATGAAGAGAGTATCAAATTTAAGATTTTAAAGCCAATTGAAACAGAATTGAATTTTGTAATTTCATTAAAATTTCAATGAATATTGTCGATTCGTTTTTTTTTTTTTTTTTTCATTCTTGCTATACTTATTAAATACAAACACCTTAGCGTCAGATACTTACCAGTCCCTTCGACATGCATAAAAAAAGATGGAGCGCCAATTAAGATCGGGTATCTTTTAATTAGTCATAATTGATTGTACGTAATTTTTATATAATCAAAATTGTTTATGAAAAAATCAGCGGGGAAATCAGAGAAAATTATATATATCTTTAGCGTTTCCGTATCTGTTGCGCGAGCAATCGGAATTAAAAAAAATTCATTACGACGATTTGAAAGTACCGATCGCCTTTATCAGCAATATTGAAATGAAACGCGCGAGTATTTCTGACGTTACGCTCGTGCGCTCGTGTATACCTGTTACAAGCGTTATAGCATGCAAAACGCTCCCTCTTTCTCTCTTTTTCCCTCTCTTTGCGGAAGCCTGAATGCAATTATGCGCGCTAGAGTACCGTGTAAAACGTGCAGCACGTGTGTTTTACATTTCAACCGCGAATATAGTGTAAGATAGGCGGATTGAGACAAGTCACAAATCTGGCGAGTTTTCGTAGGCTACGCGCGTCGAAAATCTCGGAACGATTGTTTATGAAGACAGGCTGTCCCAGAGAAGTCGGGAATTGTACGAGATGAATCGAGAAACATAGTACGACCGAAAAGGGAATGATTTTTCTTTCAAAAGTCGAAATTCAAAATAAAACTTTTTCACTTGTTATTGTTTCATAGAAATTGAAAATTGAAAAATTAAGGAAATGCACATTTTTTAATTTTTAAACAACTTTGTATCATTATCGAATTTATCTCGATAATGATTATAAAAATCTATATTTAAAAAAATACAATTTTCTCTCTATTAAAAAAATAAAATTTATTTTAGCATTTTATAGACATAACTTTTGCAATAACTTCAATTATTTTAAATCATTTTATTAAATAGTAAAAAAAAATTATATTTATAGTCGAACAATGTGACATAAAATTTATTAGAAATCATATTGAAGCTTAAAAAAGTGTATTATTAATTTTACAAATTTCAAAGTTAATTTTCTCGTGCAAAGAAAATTTTATTATTTTATTCTCAACTTATTTTTATGCTTTTCGGTTATATTACTTGTCCCGATTTATCGAACCTGTTTTATCTACGACAAAGCTTCGATGACAAAGATAAGATAATGTCGAATGTACAACTGGACCACTAGCTCTGACGTGTCAATCGAATATTTCCGATAGCTTAAAAGAGAAAAAGAAATTGTTTTCTTTCCTGAATAAGACTGTCAAACGAATCAATTTAGGTTTTATTAAGTTTTAAAATATTGCACAATTGTCACAATACGCTTATATAAAAATTTAAAAGTTACTCTCGGAGATGTTCGTCCACATGACACTTCGCGAACTCGAACACATAGGTCAGTCCTCTCTTTAATCATGCTTAAATAAATAAATCGCTCACGTACCATTGTGAATTGTTCGAAATCCTGTTGAAGGGCCGCCGCTTGCGCCTGATTGATGAAATAAGTATTCTGATCGATAACGTCGGACGTCAAACTGGGCGGACCCGGATGTCCTGTAGGACTAGGCGGCGCCGATGGATTATTGCTGTAACTTAAAGGACTTCCCTGAAACAGGAAATGCATGTTGCTCTTAGACTTGTAAAGAACCGTTATTACTACAATAAAGTTTATCTCTTGTGAGATTAATTAAATTAAATTATATAGCTTCTAGCATTAGAGATTATTGCAATCTATTGACTATATATTCGAAACACACACAACACACTGTACATATATAATAATTTATCAATAGAGTTTATATGTACGAGATGATTTCTCACTTGAACTGTTAGACTAGGTGACGATTGCGGTGAGGGCCTGTTCACCGACTGCGTGGATCTATACGATACTAATGAATTGAGCTGTTGCTGTGATTGTTGATGTTGTTGTTGATGATGTTGATGTTGTTGATGTTGATGTTGATGTTGTTGATGTTGTTGATGTTGTTGTTGCTGCGACTGTGACGTTTTCTGAAAATCGGGCAACGGGGAATGATAATTACTTATTAGCGGCGAATTAGTTTTAAATTTTATCGTACAACGATATCAAAATTAGTAGTAACATTTTTCTACATTTCTTGAATCGATAATTTTTTCGAAAGATAGAAATAAAAAGACTCGAATTTTTTTACTAATATATAGTTGTCAGAAGATGTCAAATATATAGACATGTAAAAAGAATCGCATGTGTGTAAAATGCGACACTTGTATCTAAATACTTTGTAATACAATACTATTATTTGCGGATGCGTACACAAGTACAAGGGGGATACAAATTTTCGAAACGATCGATACTAACTGGACTTTGCGGCGGCACAGGACTGTGCGATTGTTGATAAATGTAGAGGCCGGCAGTCGGGCTCTGAGACGTCGCCGTCGGCGCCGGTTGCTGCGGATAGCTCTGAAGATCCTGTTGCGAAGTACTTGTGCTGTTTTCCAGTGCCACACCCTGCTTCATACCCATCGCTATTAACGATCGATCGTCGCTCTGTCGCCTCTTTCGTTTTGCTCTCTTTTTCTCTTTTTTTTTCGCGCTTCCGCGTAACTAGATTCAACTCGATAGACGCTACATAATCGCAACAGGCTCGCGATAATCGATCTCTACGTCATTGATTACAGCATCGGACTTGCGGAAGCGGTTCGCCGCGACAACCGAGTTGCTTTACTAAATTGCTGAGCAAACGATTTCGGCGCACAAGAGTAAATCTCGAGAGGACGCGTTAGATATTTATCGATTCTGCTCGCTTCTGGCGATCGGGGATTGATAATGAGCACATCGGGATACGATAATGAGCACACACAAATTGTTTCGGAATAACAGAAATTCTGAGCCACGAAAAAGACACGTTCCAGGGAAGAGAAAAATTTGCAAACTGGCTAAAGATCTCCTTGAGGGAATCGCTTTTTAATCACATTCTCGATCGCCAAAACACGCATCAAACATCATACAGAGCCAATTATATCGCTACATTATGACGCAAAAATGAATGATTCACGTAAATGCTAAAATTACTTTAGAATTATCTTTGTGTAATGCTTATCTCTTCCTTGTGTTATATCGCAATATTATCGCGATATTATTTTTTGTTTCGTGTTTATTTTCGAACCCGTTGCGTTGGCGAACCCATTGTACGATTATTGCTACATACGCATTAGCATACATACGTTTCGCTCTATTGATTGATATTTCGATTATTTATCTGCAAGCTCGGTGCTATAACAAGCAAAAACAGTAAAAACCGCCGACGGCTTTTTGACAGCCATCGCGCGACTAGAGGCAGCAACACAAGCGTAATACTATTATATTACATACGTTCGTGAGAGCTGGTAAAAACTGGTGTGACTACTAACCTTACACGTGTGAAGAAACCTAGAGTTAACAGGCACTGATAAATGGTTCTGCAAAATAACAAACACAAACAACCACTACAACAAAGGCAAAATAAAAAATAAATAGAAAATTAAGAGAGACGCACCGACATAAAAAAAAAATAAAAAAAAAAAATAAAAAAAAAACGCGCGTAAAATTTCGTTCGAACTTTTCCAATTCTGTCACTGAAATTGTCACGTCCTGATATTAACGAATGGGAAACGAGCGACAAAATAAAATTGCGTTGAAATTGTCCGATATATTTTTTCTCCTTTTTTCCCATTAAAAATCTGTCGCATCTGTAGCGACGTAGTTTCCTGGCGAATTTGCTTTGCGATTTACATAATTTTCCGCGTTCGCAATTGACGATCGAAATTATCGAGCGGACTCGATAAATGTTGTTAAATTCCGTATTAATAATGTCAGGACGTATTTAGGTCACAAGTGCTTTCCACAGCGTGCTCTACAAGTTTCATTTCGAACTTAACGCTGCGTAACCGCCCGCAACATTATATTCTTGTTACACGTTACCATGTTACACGTTAATCATGAGATAATTACATTGAAAAAAGAAGAAAATCGATATTCAACCACGATAAAATTTGCGTATTTAAACATTGAAAAGGCATGCCGCGGATTGCTTTTTCAAAAGTGAAAGACTCAAATCTTTCTCTGCTTAAAAGGCAATGGCAACTTTGACATAGCGATACTGAAAGTAGCATGAAAGCAATCCAATTACATGCGAAAATTACTACTGAAGGAATCATTTGTGTTTACGTAATACGCGTGATTCGCTAAATGTGATGCTTTTCGCGAGGTGATACTTCTAAAATTTTCTACAATTTTCACTGTACGCAATTTGTACCGTTAATTTCTCATTTTGAAGATACACTTATATATATATATATATTTTTTTTTTTTCTGAAAGCAGTTGCAAGAGATTCTGGCACTACTCTAATCGAATCGTCTAACATTTAAGAAAGCACAGAAAGCATAGTGTTGTTTTCATGCAACCATTGCACCTCCTAAGTTACATTCTCCACAACAAACAATATAATTACACGGAACCGAGGTAATATTCTCCTACTGCGATTACTTGAAAAAAACCATATGCATCTCTCAAATTTTTATTCCCATGATGCGAAATTTGTTTATTTACATTTCAAGTCTACGTTACGTATAATTACAAAAAAGTTTATTCTAGCTTTAGATATATTTAGAAACTGCATTTCCCTCGATTCCGTAATCTGCCATTGAACAAATACGAAACATCCGAGCAATAGATCGTCGTTACATAAACTTAATTAAATGTGGTGAGCAACATATCCTTGAGAAGTTTTCCAAAATAGATGCTAATAGTGTTCAGGGAAGCTATTAGGTAACTATTTAAGATTCCAAACGGGTTTTCGACTGACGAATTCCATAGCGAATCCGAGCCAATCACACTTTGGTGCTGTCAGCGATAATTTACGAAATCTCATTAGGATCGGAATTGAATCTTTATTCGTTCGCGAGATATCGGAAACATTTCGATCGCTTCGGATATTACTTGGGTATTTATAATAAATTAAATAATGAAAAATGAAGTCACTTCGAAACGATTCCGATAATAGATAGATAATAATCTTCCTCATAGATTATTTCGGATACTTCGTATGTTCTGCAACATTTTATGGCAGCGGTTCTTAATCGAGGTCTACGAGTTCATACGCGAAACGAATATTTAAAAGAGGAATTTTGGGCTCTTTGGAGAATTAAGTGAATTCTAAAAAAAGATCCCCGGAATTCGTGTCGCTCGTAATTAAAAAGCCGCTGCCCTATAACAGTAGGCACAATCTAAGTAATACGGGGCCGCGAGGATATTTACTTGGACGCTTGACGGATCCTGTGAAAAGGACAGCCTACCAGCTTGTGCCAAGCTGGTCGGCGACAGGTTTGTGGGACTGCTCGTTTGAGGACTCTGGAATATACCAGCGGTTCGACCATTTCAAAAAAAGATTTCCGCATATTTTCAAATTTGCTAAATCCTACTTGTCTACGAACCTTTGTTCGTACAAGATTGCAACTCGATATTTTATATATGCGCGAAAGAATGAAAAAAATATACGAACGCGATTGCCCCGCCAAAAAGAGAGAATCGCGGGGGAAAACGCGATGCGAATGAACAATTACGATATCGACATCTGCCTTTTAAATCTTCTCTAATTGGATATCCTTTCGTCGGCGGTATCAATTGTAGTACGTTAAGTTAGTTAAACGATCTCGCTTCGCGCTCAAAAGCAAATTGGTTAATATCGACGATATCGGTCTTTCTAAAAATAAATAAATGCTTTCCCGTAAATAAATATATGTTATCAACCTTAAAGTAAAACTTATCGAATTGACACAATCATAAACAATCTTATTACATAACGAAACACACGCATATATATAAATATAAGATAAATATAATGTCTTAGCATTTAATTTTTCTGAAATAGAATCTTGATTTATCCAAGATTTTATGTAACTAAAATAAAACCTGAGAAACTCTATATACAAATGTCAATCTTTTATTCGTCAAAATAAATCAAAGAAATTAGAGATTAAAAATTTTTATTTCTGATCTACACGTTTAAAGTTTAACTGAAATATCAAGGTATTGTAGTATAAAGACCAGACAAATTAAATTATCCGTTAAATGCCAACAAGTAATTTCATATTTATTTTTAGAATCTATTTGGCGATTGTATATTCGCGAGCAATAATCAAAATATTTTCGTATTTCTTATTTGACACGTGCAAAATCTCTCGGAGGAATATATCTATGTGTGTACGCGCGTGCCGATAATAGATGCGTATTAATAGCATTATTAACACTCGCGCAAACTATCCTATAGTACGCTATCGTTTCGGATGTCGTTTGACAGATACTTTCTCCGAGAGAGAGAGTTAAAGATAGATAAAAAATAAGAAAAAAATATAATTTAAAAAAAGAGAGAAACATCGCTGTAAAAGCGATAAAGACTCGTTCAGAAACGTGCAGCCTCGCGTAAAGTGCGTGTAAGATCGAGCGGAAAGGAAAAGAGAAAACGTTATTTTATAGTCGATAGTATGCCATAATCGATCGGACAAACTTACGTTGCTGAACGGCGTACTACTCGAAAGATCCTCCTGAGGATCCAGAGGAGTGTGAAGTGGTGATGGAAAATGTACGTTGCTCAAGTCGGGCAACGACCCCGTGTTGTTCCCTATCGGTATTTGCTGCCCCGGTGGTTGCGAGCTTGGATATATGCTGAAACGGAAAATTTCGCGAGGATTGTTACGTTAATGCGGAATAAAAAATGAAAAAGAAAACGAATGCAAATTTTATCGAATTTGACTCCACGATATCGACGTAAGAATCGATTGTGTATTCAATCGAAACACTTTACCGAAATCTTTGTCGCTTGATAAAAGAGGTAATTTCTTTAATATTCAAGGATACGTACTTAATCCCAGGCACTCTAGGCATTTCGCACGATGATCTTGGTCGTTCGATGAAACCGTGATGAGGATCTCTGTTGTCGTTTGCGGTCATAACGTGCTGATCTGTTAATTACAGAATGCCATTTATAAAGCTTCGCAATCTCGTGATGGGGCATCGTAAAAAACGATTTAAGATTTTAATACGTCATTCGCGTAAAAATAATGCATTTTCTAATTCCACATTTTCTGCGTTTACATTTGGAGCTATATATTACTATGCGATACTGAATATAAAACGGTCATCTTGGTATGGATCGTCCGTTACGGTTGTGCAGTATGCATGTGTTTCTCAAACTAGCTATCCAATTTCTACGGAGCAACATAATACCGCTTACTAACGTTACTGTCGTATAATATTTCACATGCCTCGTCTAGCGTAAAATCACTTTGTTGACTTTCATGATTTGTCGAGGTAATTTTGATAGCCTTTATCAAAAATGTAATGTATTGTCACTGCTCTAAAAATTTGGCGTGTCGTGTTGCCAGCAAGAGAGAAATTAAATTTTATCCATAAATAATTACAATGATATAAATTATATCATATTATATATAAATATAATAGGTAATATTAATTTTTGTTGACGTGAAGAGTAGTATTTTAAAAATAAATAATAATTCAATTTTACGAACGCTTGTTCGGCATAAACTAGAGGCTGTAATTAGCCCCGCGAATACAGGACGTAAATTAAACCGCAAGAATTTCGGATTTATAGTTCGAAGTTACGAAAGCGGATTACGCTGTGTGTGCACTTCAAAGGCAAACTCGCAAGAGGTCTGACAGGTCTTTTGCAAAATTCCGTAGGCAACCGCTTAAGAGAATGGAACGGTGTCGCGATATATAACGAGGTAATATGGTAATGACGAAATTTCCGAGCCGAGTTATTCGCGTCAAAAAAGAAGCTTCGCGAAGACGACGCTATTTTACATAGATGAGCGACTAAGTGACGCTAAAAAAAACTATATTATTCTCTTTATACGCGAATATTAGATCATGCTCGAATTTTTAAACGAGAGAGTAAAAACGTGATCCTTTTCGTCGCGAATGCAGATAAATCATGCAAATGTGTACGACGCATCATTTCACCGGTCTTGTAATAAATTATTAGTGGTAATAAATGACGTTTGCGCGACAAGTTTCATGCAGGGTGACTTTGATTAATCGCCCTTCCCTTTACAGACAGACTACGAGGAAAATTACGTTCAAAGAAATGTGATACTTTTGACAGAAATTAGATAAGATACATCGGATGTTTCTCAACCGCGATAAATCAGAATGTATATGGATCGAGAGACGAGAGGGGGGGGGACTAAGAGTTATGTGTTTTTAGGAAATAGATATTAGAAAATAGATAGTTCCGAGGCATTAATTTCCATAGATAAGAGTACTTCGACGAAACGCGTTATATTGCGTAAGATCCCGTCATCTTAGATACGCAACCGACGTGATGAAATGAATACGCGATTTTTCCATAACTTTTCATCATGAGAAGAGGGAAAAACCCGCATCTTCCTTTCTCTAACAAAACAGGTTTCAAGATTTTGCAAATAAAAGAAAAAGGAGAACCGACATGCATTGCTACCTCGTCGATGAGGTATGGCGGAGGTCGATTGGCAAGCTTCGTTGGCGCTTTGATGAAGAGCCGAGTCTGAGTTTGTTCTGCGCCAGGTATCAGGCGGGGGTGGCGACAGGTAAGGGACGCCGCTGTACGGCGATGTGTCGTGTCTCTTCTCCATGGGTCGGGATCGCATCGGCCCCACCCCCATACTCCGGCTTCTGTTGTCGCTGCGGTACATCATGGAGTTGTGTTGCATCTCCTCCAGGTTGCTGAGCGCCGTCTGCAAAGATGTACGCGGAATATCCTTGAGAATTTCAATCGACAGTACGGTAGCGCGGGAGCGTGCAAACAAGTTGCATACATACACACGTACACGCGTGTGTGTAAGTGTGTATAATAGCGACAGTGTAAAAACACGTATAAATCGTGCGATAACAGATAGTACGTATAATGCATGCGTGTCATGCATTTTTATTTTATTGTATTTTTATGCAACTGATTTGCATAAGTCATGATTATCGTGTGATATACGCGTATCTCTCACGAGATTTCAGTGCGTCAAAATCATTTCGGAGATAAATATTCGAAATATTGTTTCGGAAAGGAAACGATTGCATGGATTCATAAACGCTATTCGCGATTCGATTCGAGTTCAATGAAACTGAATAGAAGAAAGAAAAATAATTACATATCTATCAGAAGTCAAATTAATCTCTCCGCTTTACTTTTTGTAAATTTTTTAGTCTCACAATCAGAATAACGAGATGCTGTCTGATACTGAAATTGACAAGTTTATAAAAAGTAGAACCGACCAATTTGGTTCCTCTCAGAAGGGGATTATAAATATTTTCAAAAATTCAGATTGTTAACGATAATTAATTAAAGCCTGTTAAAAAGACTATTTCGCCGAAAGCGAATTTTATCAAATAAAACGCCAACGAATTTTCGCCGAATTCACGAGATAGATTCGTGCGCCTTTACATGCAAGGGGGAGGAGAGGAGTCGAAGGGAAATAATTCACTTCTATCTTCGTGCTACGATGGAAAAACCCGTTTTCTAAACGCACTTCAGCACCATTCGACCAGCCATTTCGAGCGAAGAATTTTCTCGTTTCGCGGATCCCGTCTTAAAGCGTCTCTCGTCTGTCTACTTTACGACCCTACTGTCGCGCGTGTCGCCGTTTATGGACGGCGATTAAAACGATGTGAAGAAATTTAATGTAGCTATTTCATGCCGCGATCCCATAGAAATCCCGCCAAGTATTGAGTGTCTCGCCAGAGAGAAATCATTACGCGTTGAAAAAGAAATCGGTCGCGTCGACAAATAAACTTTATCGAGACATCTCGCTTTTTTCATCATATGCGGTGAAATTACATGCCGGAATAATCTATGGAATATATCGCCATCTCACGCTTTCCGTCACGGCTATTTTTGCCACGCATTTGATTATCAAGTTATAAGCAAACACAGTTGCGATCAATCTCCCTTTACGCCGCCTCTCGCCGCGACGACATGTGCGACAAGGGATATTCCCGAGATGCAACATCTCTGCTTTATATCCTGAATAAAAGAATCTGCAAATCTGCAAATTGGATGTCGCTAACTCGGATCGGATGATACTTGCGTTTCTCCTTCGAGAAATTCCAGGTAACAATTATTCATATACGTCCTTTCTATAAGCTTAAATATTGCTCTTTGATATTGAGTTTATCTGTTTGAATTTTCTTATAATAAACCATATCCGGCTTTACAGATTTACATAATACGCGAGTAAATAAAATTAACCGTTACAATTTATAACACAACAATAACTTCGAATCCATTTAAATTTTGCGACACTTTTCCGAGAGAAAAATCGCGGCATTAAAAAAAAGTGACTTTTAAAGTCCATTTTAAAAGAACATAAGCGCCGGATTTTAACGGAGATAAAACGATTCCGCGTGGGATTTCGGGCTTCCTGTTTGCGGCGCGGACCGCGAATTCAATAAAGAAATCTCTAGCTGCTCCCATGTTGGCCGCCATGTGTTGGCCGAACGTGGGTCGCACGGCTATTACCTAATATCAGTTGAATTATGCGATAAACACGAAACATCTCTTCCATCATGGGCGTAACGACACTGGACAAACACGCGTGTCATCCGCTCACTAATCATACTATTAATGTCGAAAGGCGTTTCGACAATCACGCCGAAAGTGGATACGCGAGCAAAGTTAACATGTGGCGCGAGCCTTTTCGAAATTTATTAAAACCACACATATGCAATCTTATTATCAGATAAAAAGTTAAATCTCTTTCATGTGTATTGTACGTATGCACGTAATCTCTTTCCATACTCGATCTATATAATCCCTCTTATGCGATTGTATCTCTTATATTGCGAGAAATTTTTAAAATTCTCGCTTGTCAAAGTAATGTATATTGCGACGCAACAGTTTCCACGTACTTGGAATCACGCCGATGATGTAACAACCAAGTCCAGCCAAGCGAGCGATAGATTTTATCGAAGATAGATTTTATTTTGCGAGGAAGTCTAAAAGCGCGGTGATACAAGTCGTAACGAGGGTCGCTCCCTACTACGTTAGGATACCTCATTTGCATAATGTGCAGAATATCATCGTCTGACACAGTGACGATGCAAGAATAGCCCCACCGCCACTTTTTTACGCCGCGCGCACGAATAATACACGCACAAATATACACACGTGGCTGTAACGCACGCACGTATTCGTCTCATAGTGTATGATAGAATAGACGTTAACATATTCCGTCGCATATCGAAGTACACGCTCGCGCTCTCCCAGTTTTATATAAAGCCTTTGCTGGGATAAAACATGTCCAGAAATATAAATAACGATGTTATAAGCAGCCACGAAATGCCATTAACTCGGATGATTTATGACGCAAGTTTCGATATAAAGGGGAAAAAATTTGAAACGCTATTTTAATAAAATACAAAAAGAAGAGAAAGTTTGTTTGAAAGAGAATCTGTTCCCCTTCTCGCCAAGTTTGTAAATAGAGATTTTCCTATATATGAAAAATGAGAAGCTGACGAGGGCGACAAGAAGTTTCTCATAATTATAATCGTCGAATCTCTTTTTTTTTAAGCAGGAGTATTAAAGGCACTCGAGAGAGAAACTTTCCGGGAAAGAAGCCGAAACTTACTAATTACATAGAAAATCTGAAAACGTAACGACTCCGCACGAGGGTCGACGTCTCCCCATTCACAACTTTCCCAATGTCAGGGCCGCGGGCGTCGCACGAGACGGCGCGACGCGGCGCATCGACCAAGCCGCGCGGCGCTCGTTGAAGAAACGTGCCTTCATTTAATCGTCAACGCTGACAAGGCTCGCGAATTCTCCATGTCGAGCCGAGAGTCAGACTCGACTCCGTCCTCGCGTGCGGCAGATCGGCACGTTTATTCGAGAGAAAGAGAGAGAAGATACAAGAACGGCCATGCTCTTTCAAATATCGTGTATTTTCTTGAAAAATCTGCCATCGAGAACGAATAATTCATTTGCGAAGACAATGAGACGCGATCAAGGCCGCGTCTGTCGCTTAGAACGAGTCGGCGATGTTTTCCGTGCGTCTCTTTTTCACTGCGTGTGTTTCTCTCTCAATAAGTTTCAACGGATTAAAGAGAGCGTTGTCGACGGCTCATCACGTGCCGACAATCGGAATGGACGCTGCGGATGCACACGCGATTCTTTCTGTCTCTCTCTTTCTCGAGAGCTCTCCTCCTCACCTGAGTCTCGACACGAGGCCCAGCGAGAGTTAGTCTCGCGAGAGCAATCCCGTGACGGACACGCGAGACACAAAGCTCTCCGTGATCGATGTTACGTTTACATCGCATCTCCCTCCTTCCTCTTCCTCTTCTACTTTTCTCCTTGTCGCTCCTTCGAAGAGGAATGTAATTATTCCGTCATCCATATTCAAGAAACGAGATTACGTGGACTCGCGCTCCGAAGTGGATGGCAAATGTACGGCACGTTGCGTCGTTATTCATCAAAGTGCAAAGCACTACGTTGCACATACATACATATGTCGCTTATAGTCTGCTCCCCCTCCTCCTTCCCTCCTGAGAATAGAAAGCAGCGAATTTAAATTCAGATTTTGCGTCGCGATACGAAAGAATTGAAAAGACTTCTTCTCCGTCCGCGAAATAATCATAAGAGCTAAAAAGTATTATACTTTTGGATCTTTTCCGAATCTCCGAAAAAAGGAATTTGCTCATTTTATTCATATGCAAAATCTGACTTCAGACCTCTCACCTACAGCAAAACAGACTTCCAACGCGAAATTCCTCGCAACTTTCTATTAATCGTTTATAATCTTTATATTCATTTTATAGCGACTTTCTATTAGCTACTCACATCTCTTACATTTGCATATCGTTTCCTTGGTTTTCAACGAGCAATATTAGGCGACTATATAAGAAGAAATCTGTTGGAAAATGTGTCATCGATGTAATTCTATTTATTAAATTTTTACGCAAATGATTACAAAATTTACCATTCTGACACACACATAAGAGCGTAGTTAATATTTTAAATTGAGATTAAAGTTCATAACTAATTCTTTATATTTTAATTTCGCTAAAAGCACGCGACATGTCTTTGATCGGAAAATTATATTCCTTTCTCGCAGGCGATAATCTGTTAATTCCCTTTAAAAAAAAAGGAAAACTATTTTCGAAGGTTGCGCACGCGTCAATACGCAGAGAGTTTACGCCTGAATGATGAGAGAAAGCGCAATGCGAGGTTCAGGCAAACCTCCAGGTTTAATTGTGGCGTAATTGTTGTCACGGAAAAAAATTAAAATCTTAATATAAAGTATTAATTTTAAGTACCGATATAACTTGAGCATCCGCATATATATGCATAATTATAAAGTCGTATAATATTTATACTTGGTGCTTAAGAAATCTTGCGACGCAGTTTATAACTTATATCTCCTCGGCTTGAATGAACTTTAATTTGGTTTTAAGGCCGCGCGATACCGCCATTAAATATTCATCCGGCTTATGTCCTTCGGCTCTCACAGATGATATTCAAGGACACCGCGGCCGATCGAACGCCGATGACACTTTCCAGGTTGTAATTATATCTTCGTTTGACCTCTTATGCAAGTCGACCGTCCGATGTCGGATCGCTAACGGTGCAGTGGAATGAGAAATTATGGAACGAGGCAGAATCCCTCGCGCGAATCGCGCCGTGTAAGGATTTTCTCAACGAGAAAATCAAAGACCTTCGGCATTATCGGTTAATATTACGTAACACGGG